GGGCTGCCGGACCATCGTGTGAAGTGAAGGTTTGTCCCGCTGCGGCTGGGGATTGTGGTTGTATTTCAACAACGTCTGCGTTTCAACGACGTCTTTTTATCAATTCTTTTCGATAACAGGGTTAATAAGTAGACTTATACCAGAGTAACCCCTATATAATGCTATTTTTTTGCGCCCCTGTACTCTGCTAGCAAGCAAATGAACATTTTATTTAATTTAATTTCTCGTCTTTTTTTAAAAAAGAGACAAACCAACACTAAAAAACCTCTTTAGATATCGATTATCTGGTGCAATCTTTTTGAGGGAGTCTTATAACACTACTTGATATAAACCCCGAGAGAGCCTTGTAGCACTACTTGATATAAACCAGTTATTTCTTGTTTATTGCAGTAAATTGCCAACTCCTTTAGTAGTGATCACCTTAATATAATGAAGACTTATCCAATTTCATAAGGAATGCTGATATTACACCGCATTTATTTCCAGAGTTCAAGGAAATGGATTTTTCTTGTTTAATACCAGTCGCTTTGTGCTTCTCCTGCCTTCGGTTTAATCAAATAAAAGGCAGTTACTACATTTACTGCTTCATTTAAGTTCCCTTTGCTTCTTTGACACATCAGGGCCCTTTTTAAAATTCTGCTTGTGTACTTAGCATTTGCAACTTAGGTCTTTGTTAAATGACTGCATTCTTTTTTTTATTTCTCCTCAGTGTGATCATAGAAGATATGGCGTCCTCAGACCTGGAAGGTTTATGCTTTCACATCAACACGAAGATTGCAACTATTAAAAAGGCTCTTCAATTAAGAAACATAGGTAAAAGAAATTAAGAGTGGGTTTTGGTTTGGACCTCCTTGCAGGAAATGGGAATGCTCTAATAAGAAACGTAACATGAGGTGGAAATCGAGCAAAATATGGAGAACAACAAGAAAAAATGTGCAAAGATGGCAAAATGGGAGCGTTAGCAGGGAGCCAGGTGCCAAGCAGAGAACGAGAGCTAAGTAGAAGTATCCTCAGAGGGACTTGGAGGCTGGTGGTTAATGCACCTTATATTCTATATACATGGTGGGGAAAACTCCAGAGAAGAAAAGAAAAAATAGCTTAGCAAGTATGTTAAGCTTAACTGCAAAAATGTGCAAAGGCCTAGATGGAGATGTACGCAGGTGTCTTATCCTCACATTCTGGGTGTGCTTGGCTGTGATGCAGACGTGCAGTGGTTAACAAACTGTGGTGGTTTCACTGGGCTAACACTGGGCTAGCAGCCACACACAGCTGCTACACACGGCTGCTGGCCCGCTGCCCCGCCACAGGGGATAGGGGAGAGAGTTGGGGGGCAAGGGGAAGGAGACTCATAGGGTGAGATAAGAACAATTTGTCTGTGAAGACAGGCTGAGAGAGTTGGGGCTGTTCAGCCTGGAGAAGAGAAGGCTCCAGGGAGACCTTCTAGTGGCCTCCCAGTACCTGAAGGGGCTCCAGGAAGGCTGGGGAGGGACTTTTCCTAAGGGCAATTAATGACAAAACAAGGGGAAATGGGTTTAAACTGAAAGAGGGGAGGTTTAGATTAGATATTAGGAAGAAATTCTTTGGCTCTCCACTGTGAGGGTGGTGAGACAGTGTCCCAGGTTGGCCAGAGAAGCTGTGGCTGCTCCTCCCTGGAAGTGTTCTCGGCCAGGCTGGATGAGGCTTTGAGCAACCTGGTCTAGTGGAAGGTGTCCCTGCTGCTGGCAGGGGAGTTGGGACTGGATGATCTCTAAGGTCCCTTCCAACCCAAACCATTCTATGATTCTATGAATTTAATAATTGAAAGAAAATACAAATTAAAATAATAATTATGTTAAAATAATAATGATAGTAAGACTGGTAATACAATATGCAAATGAGTGACACCCAGTGCCATTGATCACCACCCGCCGACCAAGCCCGGCCCGTTCCCAGATCACGATCCCGCAGGAGCCACAATCCCGACCCGAAACCGCAATCCCGGGAGAGCCAGAGCCCGAGCCAAAGCCAGAGAGAGCAAGAGAGGAAGAGCCCCTCATGGATCTCCTGCCCATGGGGGACAGGAGATGGAACAGCCCCTTGGCAGAGCCCAATGCCCATGGAGCTGAATCAGTTCAATATTCCTTGCCCCCTGAGATCTTGCGCTTGTAGACTGGCAAAATACAAAGTCCTTTGACTTCCAATGACAAATGAAAACATCAGTGTGTTATCAGCATTGTTCTCATAATGAATCCCAGCTGAAACCAAACCCCAGCACTATTCTTTTCACTATTCACATACTGAAAAGAAACCAGCTCTGGCCCAGCTCAAACCAGGACACAGACTTCTTTAAACTGAGATACTGAAATTGATCTGAACGTGTTAGATTGATCTTTTGTCTTTTCCTAGGCAAAAATGATACAGGATCATAGAATTGTTGGTTGGGAGGCTTATCCAGGCTAACCTCCTGTTTGCAGAGGAACTATAACCATTTCCAAAGAGGGCAGTAACTGTCTAGTTCCCTTAAACAGAGGGGGATCATGAAGGAGAACGGGGTGCTGCAGCCAGGCTGTGTTTAAAAGCTATGCCCTGCTTTGTGCTGGAGAGGGGACTTTATTCCTGCAGCAACTTTGAACTCTGTTGGCTCTATGCAGCAGGAAGTTGACGGTTTCACTAGGGAATATTGCTCCTTTTCCTGGGAAAACATGGTCCTTGGGAAACATACAGTTAGTAGCTAATGACTGTTTGTGGAGGGGAGGAGGGAAATGGGATTTGGGGTTTGTGTTGGAGGTGATGTGACTTTTTGCTTTAACGGTTTCTCTTTGTCAGGTCAAGAACCATCCCTCAAATCTCTGCTGGGTAAAATAAGACATGAGATGCTTCTCTTGCATGATCTCCTGAATAAAATGGAAACAGAAGTTCAACAGCAAGAAAAAAAGAAAAATTTACTAAAAGTAATTTTTTTTTTCTCCCTCCTGTTCTTAAAATACTGAAAGATTCAAAGGAATCTTTGATAAGTGTGTCATATAAGTGTGTCAGTGTTCTTTTCTAGATCCTAAGTGATGTTTGGATGCATGAGGCCGCTTCTAAGCGGAACTGGGACTCAGAACAAGCTTACTGATAGTTTATTAAGCAGTTCTTAATAACTAATAGTCCAGCAGAGTGATCATTAAACCTTGAAAAATAAGATTTTTTTTATTCCTTGAAAGCACATCTTTATCATAATAGACACTGTGATCTAAAGAGCAGTTCTGATTTTAAATCCTTACAATAGCTATGAAAACAGTTTAATTAGAATATTTATCTGTGTGTTGGCAGTGCCTTCATGTCTTAAGTCTTTGGTAAAAGTGTTCTTTGGAGAATATGGATGAGTTTTGTGTAGTATGCCTTCATCACCACCACCTTTCCCCTGCTCAAATCATCTAGAGTGTATTGTTAAAAGATTTACTACTTGCCTGTTGAAATTTCTTTCTCTGACACAGAGAGGCTCGTGTTTTCTCACTCTGTTTTTTGGGAAATCAGGGGTTAAAGAGGTGAGGTGATGAGGAGAGAGGAAAGAACACCTCTTAATCAACTTAAAGATTCTTTTAGTAACTAAGTAATAGTACTATTAGTAAACTAATTTTGCTTGCCTGATGTTAATAGGTTGAGATTTCTGATGAACCTATTTAATTAATTTCAGGAGCTGCAGAAGGCTGCTGAGAGAGCTCAAGAAGAAGCACAACACCTCTATGAAAACATTCCTCCCCATCTGCCTAAACCAACTCAGAGCTGGTAAGTAAGGGGAGACCTTCTAGCGGCCTCCCAGTACCTGAAGGGGCTCCCGGAAGGCTGGGGAGGGACTTTGTCCAAGGGCAGGGAGTGAGAGAACAAAGGGTGATGGCTTGAAAGTGTCAGAGGGGAGATGGAGCTGAGATGTGAGGAAGAAATTGTTTGGTGTGAGAGTGGTGAGCCAGTGTCCCAGGCTGGCCAGAGAAGCTGTGGCTGCTCCTCCCTGGAAGTGTTCTCGGCCGGGTTGGATGAGGCTTTGAGCAACCTGGTCTAGTGGAAGGTGTCCCTGCTGCTGGCAGGGGGGTTGGAACTGGGGGAGCTTGAAGGTCCCTCCCAACCCAAACCAGTCTGTGATTCTATAAGTAGGAGGTATCAGGCTGCTCCTGGCAGTGTCCAGCTGCAGCATTGTACTGTGTATGAACTGTGAGCCAAGGTTACTATTGTCTATTTGTTTTGATGGCTGCAGTGGCTAAGGACTGAAAGGTGGGTTAGTGACCCAAATGCTGGATCACTAGAACTGAAGTTCAACTCTGCATTTAAAAAATAAAAATTATTTAACTTAATCATCTTTCTATGGGGATTTGAATTATGGTTGTGGAATTTTTTTCTTCTCTTTTCCCTGCAGCAGCCTGGCATTGATTTTATCCAGCAATGACACCCACCTGCCTTTGAGAGGGCTGCACTAGGGAGCTGTTCTCAAGTGAGAGAATGAGACCCAAGCACTTGAAACAGTAGAATCACAGACTAGTTTGGGTTGGAAGGGACCTTAAAGCTCATCCAGTCCCACCCCCCCTGCCAGCAGCAGGGACCCCTTCCACTAGACCAGGTTGCTCAAAGCCTCATCCAGCCTGACCACAAACACTTCCAGGGAGGAGCAGCCACAGCTTCTCTGGCCAACCTGGGACACTGGCTCACCACCCTCACACCAAACAATTTCTTCCTCACATCTCAGCTCCATCTCCCCTCTGACACTTTCAAGCCATCACCCCTTGTTCTCTCACTCCCTGCCCTTGGCCAAAGTCCCTCCCCAGCCTTCCTGGAGCCCCTTCAGGTACTGGAGATTAGAGATTTGTTGCAATGAGGGGGATGTACAGGAGGAGTGAAGTTTTAAATCGTGAACTGTCACCTCCCTTGGTCCTTGTGTTTAGCCTTCTATTCCAAACCCACCACCAACGCCACCAAAAATTCCCACCCTTTCCCTTACACTTGCTGGCATTCCCTGTGAGTACAGCGAGCTCTGGGGTGTCAGGATTAGTTTTGTGCACGGTTTCACCTTGTTTTTCAGATTTTTTCATCAAAATTAGTTTCACTTGGCTTCCTGGATTTCAGAAGCGTTCTGCATTGTGTCATGGCAGGGAGCAGAGTGTCACTGTCACTGTGTCACGGAGCAGATGGTTTGGGAGTCCAGCAGGTGGCACTCGCTGTCCTCCACACTGCAGTCATCCTGGGAAATAGGACACTGGCTTTGGGAATGTCACATCAAGTGACACATCAAATCGCACCCCCTGGGTCCACAGAGGCACTGCTGTGCCATTCCCTGACTGTAGAACCCCACCTCAAACAAAGATCTTGTGGCAAAGTTAGATCAAAGCAGAGGATCAGTTCTTTGTGACAGGTCAGCTCGGTGCTACTTTAGTTATTTCTATATTTAGAAATAGATATATTTAGAAGTAGAAATAGAGTTATTTAGTGCATCACAGCCTGGTAATGTCCTTGTGTTCAGATAACAGTGAATTTGGCCAAATACATCCACTTTACTGTCCTCCTACCAAAAAGCAGGAGAGCAGCTTGATGGGTGACTAGCAAATAACTCAGAGTTTGTGGCTCTAAGCTGAGGCTTTGGAGAAAGGGTGAATTTATAAAAATAATGCTCTAACAATCCCTCAAAGCAGGAAATTCCTCTGCTTTTGGGATCTTGCCTATAAAAAAAAATAATAATATAAAAAAAATCCCCAGCCTGCTGGATGGTGTTGAATTTCTTTGCTTCAAAAGATTAATGGATGAGTCAGGTTTCCAAAGATCTGAACTTGTTTCAAAGAGCTGTGAAGTATTTCAGATCTGCCTGTTAGACTGCAACCCTGTGCTCTGCTTCATCTGATAAAAACAGGAGGCCTGGTGTTCTGTGAAATGAAACGGTACGTTGAATTGTGAACTGCTCTCTGCTGCCTTTGGGCTCTGGCCAATTCACCTGCTAGCAGCCTCTCTTGCAGGGAAATGAAGAGCTCTAATGAAGTCAGCTGAAGTTTGCCATTTGCAATGGAGTAGGCTTGCTTTATTTATTTTTCCTCTCAGGAAAGATGGTGAATTGTGTTCATCCAGCCTAACAGATGGGTTGGAACTTAGGTCTGTGACTAAGCAGATAATATAATTCTCCTTACTATTTATTTCCTGTTTATACATTAATATTAACTCATTTTACAGCATCGCTGAGCTAACTGTGAAACAAGAAGAACAAACCAAAGTGGCAGAATCCAAACGTGCGAAGAAACCTACGAAAGAGTCGATACCTATTAAAGAAATGTCCTTAATAACTGCAGAAGAATTTGAAAGTGTTCCTACGTAAGTAAGCATGGATTTTCTTCAACCCTGTCGTGCCAATTTGGGTGGCAAACATCAGTTTGGGAAAGTGAGTTCTTCCAAAACTGAGACTGACAGAGCTGGTTTGAAATTTTCAGTGTTCCACAGGATGAAACATGCTGATGATACCTCCAAATAGTTCATATGCAACACCAGCAAACCTGAAAATGAAATCAATAGAGCTAATTAGGTTCTTTTTTTATGTAGATGTTGGGAAGATCAGAACTAATTAGTTAAAACCCAAACCTCTTATCTCAAAAGTCACTTTTAATTTTATGAACAGGAATATATTGGCTAATAGTTGAGTTCTCTTCTTGTTTTGAGAACTGACAGTTGGGGGGGGGGGGGAAACCATTCACCTTCTGGAAAGGTAAGTTACATTTAAAAAGGAAAAATAATACTAAATGCTATTTTTATTTGACCCAACTATTGGTTCCTGGAAACTTCAAGTCTTACCAATCTATTTTGAGACAGGAAAAGACTTACTAAAAGCAAAAATACCTCCCACTGCAATATCCCAGATTTCTGGAATAGAAAGCTCTTGGTTTTTTTTCCTACCATCAGCACCTGATTAATAAATATACTTGTCTGGAGTCTGTGGTGTAGGAATAACTTTTTTCTTAAATGGCATTTTGGAGACAATGACAAATATTTCTGCAAAAAGGAGAAAATTCTCTTGATACCTAAAGTTAAATTGTTATCTGGACTCTAGATTCAGTGTGTTCCCTGACAACACTTGTTTCAATAAGAATTTATATTTTTTTTTGGAGTTTGTGTTTTACTTGAAGCTTTTAAATCATCTTTGTCTATAGCTTTCAAAATTTTCAGGTAAGCAATGTCCATTTTCTAGTCTTTCATTATCCTTGAAAGTGGAGCTTGCCCACTGCTGTTTGCAGGTGGGGAGGATCAGGCCAGATGGCTACTCTTATATTTATCACTGGTTTATAGAAACGTTGTGTCTTCAACTGTGCTTGTGGGGCTATAGAAATATTTTTATTCAGATGAGAAGAGCGTGTTTGTTCTGTGGAGGAAGAATTTACATGGATTTAAATAGTTCTACTAATTGAACAGTTTTCTCATCTTGCCTGGCAGTGCTGTCGTACAAGATTGGGAGAGTTGGTTAAGCTTGACATTGTACATATAATTTAATCAAAGCTAAGCAGCAAATGTTTGTGACCCATGTTTTCTCACAATTAACACATTCTTATAAAAGAATGAGAATTAGGTTCGTATCCCAGTGGCCAATAAAATCACAGACTGGTTTGGGTTGGGAGGGACC